AACTCCAGCAATTATTGATGCTTAAGAATGTGAACTTATGTGAAAAAAAATTCAAGGGAGTTTACCTTGATGAATGTACACCATGGACTCATACATAAAAAATGAGGACCACTATAAAGATCACCAAGATCATCAATGGAAATCTACGACTTTATGAGAAAAACGTGGGGTCAAATTCTTTCTTGAATTATCTCTCACTAGGCTTTAAAAGGGGGTACAAATTTTCAATATTTTGATTCAAGTGTTGAGTCTTTTGAGGTTTGAGATCTTATGATGTGTTTTTATAACATAGGTGTAACCTTGGATTCAATCAACATCCTTGATGCACTAATCCAAAGGAACATGAGAGGCTAATGTACCTAGCCACCTATCCACATCCAACCACTAGGATAAAGGGATGTGATTTCACAACATTATCAGTCACTCTAACCCTAGTTATGCCACTTTTACCTTTTTTTTATTATCTCATGTTTTCATTCCAATTGTATTCAATATGCCATTCCAAAAACAACATTGGTTTTTAAATAATGTCTTAGTGTAGAGGTCTACCAAAGGTAATGGGCAATATAGTAATTGACAAAGCTTACACATGTGAAAAGAATATACTTTATCAAAGCCAATCACCTTATAGATCTAAAATTTCAAACCAACAAATCCAAAGCTAATGTCCCCTTCACACATGTGTGTGAAGATATTTTGAACTCGAGAAAAAAATGATTCTCTTTAATATTATTATAAAATTTAATTAATCTTCACACCTGTCAAGCATGGAACATGTGTGCGTTAATTAAAAAGGGACCTATAAGTTATAACATTATATAAAATAATATAACGATATATAACATAACACCACAACCCATTATAAAACAAACAAACAAATACGAATCTGGTCCCCCACTTAGGGATCAACGCCCATCTAGGTGGTGATCCTAGGGTGGGGCCTGGGGTGCCATGTGAGAGCCTTATGGCCACTCGGATGGCACCTGGCACTTCCACTGCAGGACGAAGCTGGAATTTGGACCAAACAATTTGTAAAACCTCATTTTGAGCAAATAAGAATTCTAAAAAGGAATCTAAAATTCATAGTAAATATTTAAAAAATTTGTTAGAAATTATTAGGCTTCTATCATCAGTATAATATCATACAAAAGGTATAGTGAGATCTCAAGCTTACAACTGTAGGTATCGGAGTACTCCATTGGGTGAGTCCCGAATGATGTTCCGCCAAGTATTAGATCAATCTAATGGCGTAATTGGCCACATTAAAGATGTTGAGCCAAAACTTTCGATCATCTGACTCTCAATAGATTATAGGTGTACCCTTGTGGGATGTAATTTAACTCAATTGCAGAGATCATCTCAAAGCACATGTGCATTGTCTCTCCCAAATCCGAATAATGCATTTGGAAGAGTGGCTTTCCGTGCGAAATGAAAATGCATATGCCATGGAATGGTCTCGTGTCAGGATACGGGCTTATGTCCCATAAGTTTTAATCATTCTATACAGTTACTCAATAAAAACTTGGGTTATATTTTTCTCGTTTGGATTCTCTCCAAGCCCGGACCAATCACAAGCAATCAAGAGGTTAACTTATAAAATCATGACTAAGAGGTGACCCTCACACCTCCTTGAGAATTTTCTTTCTCAACACGTGAACTCTCAATACATCATGCGTACTCAGGGAAAAAGAATTTGAGCCCCATTTCATAAGGCGCCAAGATTTTAATATCTCAATCGCTCCCACTGAATGAGAGACTACTGGAATTTAGGATTTGAAAGGCCATATTTCCAACATAAATAAGAATGTCGAACAATATTGAAGGAATTTATACTTTTGGTGTCCTTGAGATAACCAGGATGAAAAGGAAAAGGCTATCGTTGAATTCTTCAGCGTTTGTTTTATTTCTCGACCTAAACTTCCATTTTCTTTGGAGGGACTCCCTTTTAAGAGGCTTGAGCTAGACAGAGCGTAGGAGCTTGAGGCTCTTTTTTCTGTTGATGAAATTAAGGATGATGTATTCTCTCTTCCTAGAGACAAAGCTCCTGGACCAGATGGCTTCCTGATGGCATTTTTTCAATAATTTTGATTGTGAAAGGGGATCTTCTTCGATTCTTTACAAATTTTCATTTGGATAGCACAATTAATAGAGCTCTTAACTTTCATTGCTCTGATTCCCAGAAAGCAGAACCTAGAAGCGCTTTTGGATCTTAGACCTATTAGCTTGTTGACTTCAGTCTACAAGATCTAGTGAAGGTTTTGACTAATAGGCTAAAGAAAGTTAGTTATTTGGTTATTCAAGGCTCCCAGTTCACCTTTATTAAAGGTACACTGATCATTGACAGTATTCTTGTGGCATAATAGGTGATATATTCCACCAGAGTTGAGGGTTGTACGGGCATTATTTGTAAACTAAATTTTGAAAAAGCATATGATAGGATTGAATGGGATTTTTTGGATGACATCCTTACATGTTTGAGCTTTGGCCTTATTTGGAGAAAGTGGATTAAAGGATGTTTATCATTCACCCATCTCTCTGTTATTATCAATGACAAAGCTTGTGGGTGCTTCCAAGCCTTTAAGGGTCTAAGACAAGGGGATCCCTTATCACCCTTTCTCTATACCTCAGTAGGGAAATCTTTTAGTCTTATAATGAACTCGGCTTTGAGGGTTAATCAACTCGATAGCCTAAGGATTCATGGATGTGAGGATCATGTTTCCAATTTGCAGTATGCATATGATACCCTTCTTCTCACTTTGGCTTCTTTGGTTCAAGTGCAGCATATTTGTTTATTTCTCAAATGCCATGAACTCATCTCAAGAGTGAAAATCAACCTTCATAAGTCTAAACTGATTGGTATTAAATGTGTTAATGAAGATATTGAGAGATATGTTGCTTGGTTAGGATGTGGCACACAAGAATTCCCATCTAAGTATCTTGGTGTTCCTTTGGCTGATGGTAGACTTCCTAGATCCGCTGGGGACCCAATTGTGGAAAGGTTTGAATACAAGCTAGATGATTGGAAAAGTAGATATCTCTCTTTTGGGGGCAAAGTTACCCTCATTAATTCAACTCTTGCCAATACTGATGTGTACTTTCTATCCATGTTCAAAGCGCCAACCTCGGTTCTCAAGAAGCTAAAGTCTTTGATGATAAACTTTTTATGGAGTGGTTTGCCTTCGCCTAAGAAGTACAATTGGGTTAGGTGGGAAAAAGTTTGCAGGCCTAAGGTTGAGGGAGGTTTAGTTCTTTGAGGACTTAAACATATAAATAATGCCCTACTCACAAACTGGTAGTGGGGAGTATCTATCGAACCTCGTCGTGAGTGGTAGAAGGTTATTGATGCTAAGTACGATATTGATCAGACCGACCTTGACCCTAAAAAGCTCTCTAGCAATCGCTCGCCCTTCATGATGTGGAAAGGGATTAACTATGTACGTGGCCTCTTTATTATGTACATCATATTAAAAGTGGTGGATAGAGCAAGAACTAAGTTATGGCTAGGGAAATGGTGGGGTAATGTACCCATCATGATTCAATTTCCAGATGTATGTTGCTGGGCAGCTACCAAACAAGCGACGATTTTTTATATGGCTGAAGGTTAGGGACTTAATTGCTTTTGGAAGGTCAATTTCACAGTATGGAGGATTGATGAGGCCACGAAGTTCCAGTTTCTTGCTTTGATGTAGCAACTTAACTCTTTTTGTTTTCCTATTAGACATGACTATTTAGTCTGGGAGCGTACTCCTAATGCCTGTTTTTCAGTAAAATCCTTGTATCGAGAAGTAAGTAATAATAGAATATTCAATTTGAGTAACAAAAATACCAAGGTGTGGATGATTAAGGCACCTAATTGAGTCAGAGCTTTCTTATGGTGGCTGGAACAAGCCAAGGTATTGATGGGGGATCAACTGAGAAAGAGGGGGACGGTTTTGGTTATTGTCAATGTTCTTTGTAAACAAGCATCCGAAGATTGTCATCATCTATTCCACCACTACTCTTTCGCTACTTCCTTTTGGAATTGGACTTCGACGATCTCAAAATGGTAGTGGACTATGCCTAGAAATATCCAAGGATTTTTGCTTCTGTCCTCAACCCCCCTTTTACAAAACGGGCATCCAACTTTGGCACATTCTTTGTGTTGTGGTGCTTTGGTTTGTGTGGAAAGAAAGAAACTCGCAGATTTTCGAGGGAGTATCTCACGATCAAGCTGACATCTCTATGGGAATGACAAAACTCATAGTTCATTGGGCTCAAGCTTCCTTATGTTTCAAAATCTGTCCCAAAGAATTATTCTTTACTAATTTTGTGGACCTTCTCTATCATTAGCTGCATAAATTTGTTAAGCCTTCTCATTGGATCCCCCTCCGACTAGTTGATTCAAGTTAAATTTTGATGGGAATGTTAGACTTGAAACCCATAAAGTTAGTTTTGGTGGGATTTTTAGAGATCATTTCGAGAATATTCTTTTTTCTTTTTTGAGAACTTAACCTTTGTGACATCAATGAGGTTGAATTAAGAGCGGTCAAAGAAGGTATCTCCTAGCTTTAGGGCGATCATAATCGCATCATTATTGAGAGAAATTTGGCTAATGTTATCAAGTTATGCATTTACTATTCCTCCATTCTTTGGCAATGGACCTTCATTTTGGACGGAATTTCTTTGACTATCTTAGCCAAAGAGTTCCATTCCACATTATCATAGAAAGAAATGGCAAGGCTGGTGCTTTCAAGAAATTAGGAACCGTTAACGTTCAAAGAAAAACAATGTAAGAAAAATAACTATTATGAAAAATAATAATTAAGCTTTAAAAGGGGGCGTAATATTTAGACCGTACATAAGGAGGACCCTTTAAAGAGGGACGTAATATTTAGACCGTAAATAGGGAGGAACCTTCTGCCAGGTGCTCCGACGAGCTCTTTATTTTTCACTTTTATTTGTAATTTCGGCGTCGCCCAAGCCGAAATTTTATATTTTGCAGCGAAATTTTCTTCCATTATTTCGCGTGGGTAGAGAGAGAAACTGTGCGAGTCGAAAGGCGTGTACTGTGTGTAGAGAAAGAACCTTGGCCTCCGCCGTACGTGAACCTAATGCGAGAGTATAAGCGAGATGGGGGACGATTTGGCGTCAACCGTTGCAAGTAGAGTTGAGAAACTGGGAGCGCGCGCTACAAGTTCAAGCCCATTCTTTTGCAGAGGGAGGAGAGAGAGAACGGAGCTAGAGATTTAGCCCGTTTCAGTGCTCTTTCTAATGGCCTCTGCCACTTCAAACCCATACACAGGTTATCCTTATTCATCATTTGCACCTTCCCTTCTTTCTTTATCTCTCTACCTCAGCTCTCTCTCTCTCTCTTTAGTTTTATATCATTGGATTTGCAGATGATGTGAGCCTTCTGATAGTCCTAATGGACACCAATCCTTATTTCTGGGGTGCTATGAACGGTGCTGCTGCTTTCTCTCAATTCCTAAACCAGGTAGCTTCACGCCCATCTCGTTCCACTTTGTCATGGATCTTTTTGACGTAAGCTCTGTGTGTGTGTTTCTTTTGCAGGTCCTGCCATTTTTGAACTCGATCCTTCTGCTAAACCAACTCAACCAGCTTGTTGTCATTGCAACTGGAGTTAACTCCTGTGACTATTTGTATGATTCTTCGAGGGTTGGCCATGAGAGTGAGAAGAGGTCTACAAAGGGGATTCCTGGTCATTCTTTGGAGATTCTACAAAAACTTGAAGATTTTATTGCTAAGGACCAGCAGTTGAGCAATAGCGATGAGGCTCCTGGAAAGATATGTTCTCTCTTGTCGGGTTCCTTGTCCTTGGCTCTGTGTTGTATCCGTAATTCCAATTAGGCTTACCTTCTTATGAATCATAGTGAACCTGCATTTATGTTTTTTATCCCATTTCGTTGAAATTCAGTAGTCTAGGAATTTCTGTAAATGTGGTTGTTTCATTTATATCGAAGATTGGATTTTATTTTTTGTCGACAGGTATATATAGTAGGTAGGAATGAAACCAGTGACATCACACCTTCAAGGACTCGGACTCATTCCTCCTCATAAATTGGATTTTAGTATATCAAATTTGTTTTCCGTTTGATTTGAGTTCACAGATATCCAGAGAATCTTGCGAACTGGACCTGTTCATCCACAGCCCAGGGTGAGGATCTGTATTAAATCATTGACTTTAATTCATCTTGATCTGATCTTTTCAATGCATAGGACCTTTGGCTTGCCCTTCTTATTACATTGTCTCTCTTTATGTTGATTGTTGTTATTTTATTGTGCATGATTTCTAGAGTTATATGATAGTTTTAGTAACAAACTTCTAAGGTTTTGCCTGGCTGCATGCTTGAACAAATGGCGTGCTTTATTTTGTTCGAATTAACCATTATTTTTTCATGCTTCTCATCAGACAAATATTGGCTTAAGCACAAGTATTTCAATCCTCATTAAGTGGCTCAGTGTTAAGCTTGCACATGACTGTGCATATGACATATTGCTGAACTAATCTCAGTAAGGCTTTAATTTCTCTTTTAATATTCTATAAAAAAATGAGCATTGAAAGTGGTGCCCAATCCATCTGGGCTCAAATCTGCAAACTATGTTCCTGTGACTTCTTTCAAATGCCTTGAAGGATCTAGATGACCACGCGTCAGTTTTCATAATTCATACTTTTGAATGTTCCTTAAATACTGATTGTTCTTCTATTTCCATTTGATTTTCAAAAAAAAAGAAAAATGGAAAAAAAAAACTTTATCCAAGTTGAGGCTTTGGTTGCATTTGATTCCTAAAGGTTATGTGCCCCCAGTTAAGAATGAACGCTACAGTTCCATGGGGGTCACTGCCGTAAGTTGTGAAGCCTATGGAGCCATGTCCTATGGAGCCATGTCGTAGTGCTGCGGATCCACAGGACTTCTTGACCATATGCTGTGTGGGCCTATGGTATATGGGGGCCTTGGCCTAAAGTAGTAGGTATCGTCAGGCTGTTCCCCTTTCCATGGCTTGGGGTGTAAGGACTCCATGGTTATTATCTAATGACCATGATCTTATTGGGACCCAATAGGCATCTGCAAAGAAGTTCATAAGGGCATGCTTTGAATGTTATGAATAATATGGTACTGCAAACACATATAGCACTTTGGCCTTATTCAACATTCACCATGGGTGATTCCCATAGGCCTCATTAGTTGCGTTTTATGTTTTACATGCGTCAAGTGGAATGGAAAAGTTGATTACCTTGGATAGCCCATGCTAATTTGTTTCTCAAGACTTGCCATGGTTTATGAGGGCTTGTTGATGATGGAACTGGTATGTTGGAGCAGTGAGGTACCGTAGTGTGTATGTGGGACTTTTCAGCCTGAAGATTATGACTTTGGCCAGCTTCCTTGAATTTGGCCTCGTTGACCCTTATGGAGCTTGGACGCTGTTGCCAATGTCCTCAGATGGAATGGATTCTGAAGCATGTTACTGCTGTTGAGCCTTTCAATCAGTAGCACACATGAGTACACGAGCTTTTAATTAATGGCACAGTTACTAAGGTGCGATTATGACATTTGTCATGCATATAATTTACTAGAAACAAAAATGCAATCTGTAGAAAGGAGTAAGGATGGCATATCCTTCATGGGGTTGTTATGAAGTTTATGTGAAAAACAGCTTGGGGCCTTGGCTCATATTGTAGTGTAGCTTTCAAGAGGATCTTGGTTTGTATCTCTTTCTGGTACTTTACTCTCTAGAGAGTGCTTGCTAGCTTTTTCTGTCACATCCTTTCTAGTTCGGGGCTCAAAAGTATTGTGCTAGATGCCCGGATTGAGGTTTAATTTCTATTTCTTGATGATTCCCTGTGATATGCTCTTTGTGGCCATGCTATACAATCTTCAGTAATACGTAATGAGATAATTCAAGCAGGTTTCTTCTACACTGTACCTGTAACAGCAATGTTGGACGGAATTGGATGTCTTTTGTCACATAATTTGATTTCTTGTATTCTAACTTCAGTTCTTAATAATTAATTGTTCTCTCCATTGTATGTGAAATTATTTGATTTCTTGTATTCTAACTTCAGTTCTTAATAATTAATTGTTCTCTCCATTGTTTCGTCAAATTTGTTTGGATGGAATACATATGCTCTAAAAAATTTATTGTTTCTTCAGTAAACAGTTGCTAACTGAATTCTCTAAACAGATTTTGTGCTTGCAAGCATCACCTGATGGATCAGAGCAGTATGTTACACTCCTGTTTTATACTTGGTTCATGTTCTATTTCATCCAACAACTCTGATTGGTTTACTTGGCAGATATGTTGCCATCATGAATGCGATATTTTCAGCTCAGCGTTCCATGGTATTGTATACGTAAGAAAGCTTGAATGGAATAATCGCATTTTCTTATGTTTGTCTCTTATCTCTGCTGTGTGTCTTTTTCCTGATTTTGCTTTAATAATAGTTTCTAACAACGCTTATAGACTTGGCCGAGTCCATTTGGTTTCAGCCGAGTTACTCGGCCATGGAAATTGGTGTACACTCCTCGTAATAACCGAGAAAACTCTCTTTTTCTATTTCTAAATCACACCGCTGTGTGCCTCCTCACTTTTTCTCTTTCTAAATCACAGAGTACGAGAAAAGGGCACTGCTTTTCTCTCTCTAAAAACGGGGCACAAGCCTTCGCCTTCTCTCAAAACAGGGCACTATAGAGAGACCCTGGCAAAATCCTTGCAAATCCTCTCTCTTTCTCTGTCTCCCTCCCCATTTTGCAGTTCCCACAACAAATTCATTTAGCTGTTAGTCATCAATCTGGCTCCTCTCTCTTTCTCTGTCTCTTTCCCGATTTTGCAGTTCCCATAACAAATTCGTTTGCCTGTAAATCATCAATCTGGCTTTGATCTCTCTCTCTCTCTCTCTCTCTCTCTCTCCCCATTTCCCAGTTCCTACAACAAATTCGTTAGTTTACATGTCATTGGTTTGGCTTTGATAGGTTTTTCTTTTGTTTTTTATTTGGTTGAAGAAGAGGAAAGTTGGGTTTCTAGCGTGGTTGCTAAAGAGGGCGAGAGGGTCTTTCATAGTGGGGCTTTCTCTCTTTCTCCGTCCAAATGGGATACACAAACTGTAGAGGGCCCTTATATGGAAGAGAAGTTTGAGAATTCATGGCCCTTATCAACTGAAGCATCTCCATGACATTGCCTGGTCCAGTTCACCACTCTCCATAAAGAATGGCTAAAGTTACCACCTTGTTTCTCTCAGTTCCACCACTTATGGTTCTTTGGCAAGCATTCTCTCTTTTGTTTCTCACCACAAAGCCCAAACAAAAGCATACCAAAGGGCGTCAATGACCTCAAACTCATGGAGGGCCTTGATTTTGAAGATCTTAGCTTTCTTATGAAAATTCTGCCAAAAAGCACAAAAAAATTGGGTGAAGAGAGAGAGAGAGAAAGGAAGGAGGGGGGGGGGGGGGGGTCGGAGAGAGCTGTGGGAGTGAAGAGGGAGAGAGAGAGCTCTAAGGGGGACACGTGCCCACAGCCTTCTCTCGCGGGTACATGGGCCAAACCCCTTTCCCTCCTTTTGTTTTTTATTTTTATTTTTTGGTTTTCTGTTTTCTTTTTTCAAAGTTATTACTACTCGGATGAATCCATTAACTTGGCTCTAGCCAGGGCCGAGTCTGAATTTGATTTCTCATAAAAATTTGGAGTAAGTAGATTTAAAGCTCATTCATAGGTTTAAGTATGATGAGGTTTTTGTGGACAAAAAAAAATTTTCCTATTATGAGGCCAGAGTTCTGTTTGACAATGCTATTAAAAACTCATATGCCGTCAGTCATTTGGTAGTTATGTGGCAAAATTACGAAGTATTGAGTTTCACTCATAGTTGTTGGGATTGGAAGTGGGGGATCATGAAATGCTTTAATATCCGTTTGGTTGGGGCCACTGTCTATAAAATGCACATGTTAGGGATCTAGATGCCCCAAATGTTGGGGATATCAAGAATCCAACCTTTTGGGGATCTTGATCCCGACCTTTAGGGAATTGCTCGCAACCTTAAAGAGAATGTATGTTCTAAGATTTTATCAGCAATAACATCGGAGCCTTATCCCAACTATTGGTTTAGCTACACGAATTCTGTTTCGCCATTCCGCTCTTTCAAAGGCCATGCTTTAGTCGAATCATAAGTCACCATATCTCTTCTCATTACTTTTATCCATGTCTTTTGGGGCTTTCCCCTTGCCCTTTTAGAGCCTTCTACTTAAACCAAATCACTCTTGCTAACTAGTCTTGGTCTACGCTGCCATCTAGAACTATATATATTCTTTAAACTAGGAATCTCTTTATTTATAGTTAGCAAGTAGTGAAACTATTTTAAAAGTAAAGTTGCGTTGCTAGCTGGATATAAATAAAGGAAATCATTTGCTTGGTTGTTGTCTTGGTCTCTAAGTTGGAATCGAGATCCCTAGCAGTAGGAATCCGGACCCTAACAGTGAGGATCAAGATCCCAAATTTGAAAATTGAAATCCCTTGAAGATCCCTTTCTTGGAGTGCTAAAGCGAGATTCTAGAGTGGGATCGCCACCTATGTTGGGAGATTTCGCTAACCATGGTTTCACATACTGTATTTGTTTGTCTATTGAGAAATGCAGTTACCATACTTGATTGTCCCTTGAGACAATAACTTGATCATTTTAGTTGTAGAGATGCTTTGCATGGGAGGGCAGGACGTTAGGAACAAGTAAAAAAAATAAATGAAATATTGAACGCGGCAGACCATTCCTTGACATCATAAATAAGATAAAACCATAGGAGGAATTCAAATGTTTCTCAAGAAAACTGGGTACTTGCTGATGTGAAATTCATGAAATCATTAAAATGAAATTGCTTTTGGTGAAAATGTTGGGCTTGGTTTCTGGCAAACATTGCCTTGAGCAATTGTGTCGGACTAGACTTTATCCTGTGAATTATTTCCGCATTGTATTGTTGATGATATCTTTAGTACAAAAGCATTAGACATTACTCTAGTGCATGGGCTTGATAGTTGTAGACCACTAGACCTTTAAATAATTAATCTTATGGGATAATCAAAGATAGGGAATATATCATTCAAATGGTCAAACTACCTCAAAGAATCAATGAGGTGTTAAATCAACAATTTTACCAAACCTTCTCGAGAGTTTAGTTAGAAAACCCTTAAGCTGCCATTATTTCAAGTTTGTAACCTTGAACAAGCAAGGGAATTTTGGTAACATGACCCACTAAACCTACTTGAGCCAAACAACTTAAGGGCCATGTTTTTTCGGGTTTCAAACGCAGAACATGGATTTCCATTAAAGAATTGATTTGCTAGTGATCTACCATCTTTGTACGTTGTTGTGTCTTGGGAAATACTATACTTGGAATACGGAATATTATGCATCACCAGTTCAACATTCTTCAATAATTTTTGTTTCTTTGAAGCCTGACATATGTTGTATGTATTTGTAGGTCCCAATAGATTCATGTGTTGTAGGAAGTGAGGATTCTGCTTTCTTACAGCAGGTGATGCAAATGGAATTTTTAGAGGTCCTGTTTGGAGCTTTAGTTTCTTATGAATCAATATATGTGGTTGTTTCAGTAATTTTTCTTGTAAATGTGAAGTACAGGCGTCTTATATAACAGGAGGTGTTTATCAGAAGCCTCAACATCTAGATGGACTTTTTCAATGTTTGTCGGTAGGGACATGTGATTCCTGTTGTTCATTTAGTCCAAGATCATTGTGATGCCTACAAAAACAAGTACTATTAACTGGTTAAAGTTTTATAAGTTGATTTCCTTGAAATATGAATGTAGTTGACAATTTCTAGCTAATCCAATGATTTATTTGCATTTGAAATTTCTTCTTTGCCGTGCTTAAGCTTTGAATGTTATACATTAGGTTCATACTACTTCATAACTTCTGCACAAGGATGGGACTTTCCATGAAAGTTTTACTTGTAGCATTCACTGTTGTATAAATGTTGGGAGGCTCCGTTTTGTATGGTCTCTTATTTGCTTGTTATTTAAAATGAGGCAGTTTCCAGATACTGTTCAAGTATAAATTTCGTGATGCTACAGAACCCCGGATAGGCAAGTAAGTAGTGTTTCATGTCTTGAGTTTCATGATTTTGAATGCATTCTATCACTGAAGGAGCCAAATTGTACGGGCAAAAACTATAGGAAAAAAGCATTACGATACTAGAATACCATAGAATTCTAAAAAAACCACCGTCTGCCCCGATCTCGGAATGATGGCAAATAATTGGGTATCGGGACTTTTTTTAACAAAGTATTGGTCATGTTCTTCAATCTAGACTTTAATCAACAGGTTGACAACCTTCGTAGCAGTAATTTGTAAGGAACAGATATAATGCACATGATGTGCTTTCTTTGGGAGGGATTTATGTCCAACTTGCATATGCTTCAGCTGCTCATAAAAAACTGGACTGGAAGAAGTCTTCATAGCTCTAGTATGTCACTATTTTTGAAGAAATTTTTGTGGCTCTAATATCTCATTGCATGTATGATGTAATAGTGTATGGAACCAAGACTAAGGTACAACACTTCATACATTCACTTATAATTGACAATACGACTTCAATTTTGCACACAATTACATGACATATGACAACTTTTGACTCAATTACAACCACATAAAATCAAATACAGCCACTCAAAATACATCCACACACTTTCAAGACCAAGGGTTAGAACTCAATTTGGGTCCCTTTACAAAAATCCAACAAGAGTATGCATGAGCATACGACGCATAAACTAGTGCTTTTTAAATTTAAGCACTATACACAATTACAATGCAAACTTATACGTGAATTTCTATTACAAAATAAAACTCAAATCTCCCAATTACAAACACAAATATGCTCAAGTACTCAACGAATTATGATCATGGGAATCCCATTGGAGCTCAATGTGTCCGGTTTGCAGCCAAGGTCTTATTAACATACCATAGAGTGACTATATGGTGGTAATTCACAATTTATGCCAATTTCACTTCATGTTCTCAAAGGGAAGCATTGAGAATATTTCATCTACATTTAATGTGGCACTTCAATGGAGAGAGGCATTGAGAAATAATGGATCCAAGTATGGGAAAAATCATGGGAGAAAATACGCTCATAAACACCTTCAACTTGATAGGAAATTAATTGGCATCGCATGGGAAGAATTTGACAGTGTCCCTTGCAAATCACCAAATTAAACCCACCAAAGAGGTGATTTGATTGACTGATTTTGGATCGAAAAATCTCAGTCAACTAAATCTCCAAAAACTCAACAAAAGCTCCATTTAAATTCAACTCAATCAACTAGAGATCATAGGCTTAAGCTCATAGATTAAATTCAACGTAATTGATCATCAATCAAGATGAAAGGATTGATATACCTTGCTGTAAGTTGAAATTACAGCCACCAAATGCTTCAAGGATGAATTTGAAGAAGATCTCTCCAAATTGGGACACCATGAAGCCTTTAGAATAAACTCCAAGCTTTAGGATGGAGCTTTAACGGGCCTCATAGCTTAATCCTATCTCTACACTCATTATCTACATCTCACGTTCTCACACTACACTACTCTCTACAAAACACAAGAGAGGAGAGTGAAAACCCTAGGCTAGGGTGCACAACACTAGAGAGGTGTGGTCAAAATGAGATAGAGGTGGTATTTAGAGGCTAGTGTAACATGCTTTTAGATGAGTTAATCTTGGCATTGATGCCAATCATCTATGGCATGAGAGAAGCTTGATCCTAGCCACTAATCACTCATCATGCCATCTTGATGAGTGGATGATATTTAATATCCTTATCCTCCCATAAAGCGCTAATTTGTTCCAAATTCCCTTTATCAATTCACAAATTAAAATTAACATTAAATTCTTCTTACTCCTACGAATATCCATGCTTAATCACTTTAATTAAATGAAAAAACATAGACAAGGGCTTGCCCTTATAGTACTCTAGCACAAATTCTAGAATCAATTTGAATTTAATTTTTGCTCCAATTTCAAGTCACATGGATTTGCATGTACACCCAATCACATAATGCCACATGGGTAGGTGGTTCTATGCACAATTATATATGTGCTTAGGGTTTCAAGCATAATATCTATACCCTTTTCAGAGCTGTCCCACATGTGCACTTAACCACCAATCCCACACATTAAACATGTGCTCAGATGAATTTTCTTAATTTTCCAAAATTCACAAAATACTCATAAAAAGACACATTTAACAAAACAACAAATGACAAAGGGGTCCCTCTATGGGGTTGATGTCACCCCCATGTCATCTCCACATGGGGCTGATGTGGACCCCACATGGTCCCACATAGCACCCATTGGCCACTTGGGTGTGGGACCCTTATGGCCTGTCCTTGATTGTCGTTTGTCCAAAATGACTCCTAAAAACTCCAATTTTGGCTTAAACAAATCTTTCCCAAAAATAATTAAAGCATATTCCATCAATATAACACAATTTGGCATCATATAAAACCATTAATGAGGGAAATTAGGATCCTATGGAAATGAATTGGGCATCTGAGTTTCCACTTGCCTAGACCCAGAATCAATAGTGACCTTTTCAGATTGACAAAGAAGCCAATACTCATATTGTTCGACAGGAGCTCATACTTGGCTTATCAAAGTCAATGCAACATGTGGCTCGGGACTCTCAGGTTGTAGTGGATTACAGGTGTACTTATGAGGACATGTACTCTAGTGAATGCAGGGATCTCTTTCAGCACATTTGCATATCTCTTCCTAGTGGATCTACTGGAAGACTGGCTTCCCATTTGCGACTATACATGCACAAGTTATGAGAAGGTCACAAGGTCAAGGATTTAGGTTTATGTCATCTCAGAGCCTTTACCATCTCGTACAAGGCTAAAACCGCACAAAATATTCAAGTTCATATCATACACAATGCTCTGGCATCACGCAATCATAATCATCCAAGGTTTATCCCAATTATTTGGGATTTACACAATCATGAGGCATAAATAAAAAATAGACCATAACTAGAGATAACCCTTAATCC